TGTCAACTAACTAAATGCCCTAACAAAAAATTGATCTAAAGACTCCCTAAATGGTACCCTACTGCTAATTTGCTTGAGTTTTAAAGGTAAAAAATTTAAGCTGAAGCTCCTAAAAAATAAAAACTTTTCCGAGCAAAGTCAAGTCTCACTTTCGGCAGAGCAACGGTGGTCCCTCTGTTCCTCGTATTAAAATCGTGGGTTAACAATTTAAAATATTCTTTGAAAGGACTACAAACATTGCCTTTTAGGCAATCAAAAACAAATAAACAAGCCTTTTTCTTTAAAAAATTTTCAATTGTGGGTAGACGGAGTTCACAGTTTAGACATTTTGAGTTTTGCAGAATAATCCTGTGACTACGTTGTTCCAGGTTTCTTATTTGGCACCTTCGTGTCTCTGACCAACCAAGCGTAATTTGACCGCAATAAGTGAATATGGGCATTATCATTGCTCTGTAGATTCGTTCAGCGCTTAAGGTGTCAGTGTTAGAACGGATTCGTCGTAATAAATTCACTCTTCCTGCAGATTTCTTGTATGTTTTGTAAAAGTGCTTGTCAAGATTCAATGTAGGGTCCAGATAGACACCTAGGTACTTGTAATTTGTAGTCGTGTCGATGCGAGATCCATTTACTGAGAGGTTTAGTTCTTTGCCATCAAAACCACTTAATCTTTTTGCTGTTCCGAATAGCATTACTTCAGTTTTTCCTTTTTTGAGATTAATGATAAGTTCGTTATCTCGAAACCAGGAGGCGAGGCTATTGATGTCTTCGCTGCGGTCGTGTTGGATAATATCCAAGTCTTTCGAGGATGTGAAAATTACTGAGTCATCTGCGTAGGTGATAATCTTAGAATAACGGATCGGCTTGTGGACATCATTAAAATGAATTAAAAAGTGTTAAATAAAATGTTGGGTTCAATAAATGACTTGTCAGTGGTTAGAAACAACTGAGAAATTGTATCCAAAGCGGCTGGAAAATCACTGAATTTGTTTGTGCTCTGCTTGCATTAAGTTTGATAATGAACAAGGAAAATACCTGCCGCTACAACTGCACTGAAAGTGACGTTTTTCCTTAGAGTAACACCTGCAAATCAGCGTCACATAAGTTCCCTGTTAAGGTCACTTAAGTGCCCTATTCAAGTCGCCAAAGTTCCTTATGGCACAAGAGTTCCCTAGTGTCGTCACAAAAGTTCCCTTGTGACGTCGCTAAAGTTCCCTGTACATGTCACAAAAGTTTCCTGTTTTCCTCACAAAAGTGGCCCATTCTTCTGGCTTCACCCCCTTTCTCTGTATTTTCTGTCCCCCTTTCTGTCTCTCCCTCTACTCTCTGGTTAGAACCCAGTGACCCTAGGTACTACTTATTCGTAACCCATAGGATGAATTTCATGAACTGTGAGGCGGGTTAACATATAATGCGACCGGACATTTTGCTCATTGCTCTTAATAACATCTGTGCCCACAACGTGGTAAAACATCGAATAATAATTAACCCTTCCTCTGATGTAATGCTGTCAACCAAGAGTCGTATTTAATGCTTTAAATCATTTTGCTGTTCACTTCTTCTCTCAGGCAGTTCACCTCTCCCTGATTGCACCTTAGATGAAGAAATAAGAGAAATACTCGAGAAACTGCAGCAAAAGAGGATAGAAGGTGAATAGATAAAGCACATTCAGAGAGAAAATTATGTTTTACAATAACTGTAGAGATTTTCGCGCACTCATTGGCATGAACTATTGTCAAGAAGGTTTTTTATACGCCAATTGGCATTAATGTTGCAATCTGATTTGCCAATCTGCCGTTGTCGTTAAGAGTACAGACAACGCTGTTCGCCTCAACGTGTCACGCAACATGTCACGCATTGAAAGACTCGTTTTATTTGACGTCGAGATCGAGGTAAAAAACAAATCGACAGTAGTTAAGCGTGGTCTGTGCTCTTATTGATAACGATATTCGTCATCATAGCGGTCAAAATTTGTTGTGGACTCACTCGGCTGCTCTTTGTGAGTCCACAACATTTTGACCACTGTGGTGACGAATATCGTTGTCGATAAGAGTAATGAAATGTGCGGTACTGTAGTGACAAATTTCAACCTTTTAGAGTAAAAAGGGTCAACCGAAAAATATTTTCTCTTAAACTTCTTAAAAGAAAGAAATCAGCCGCAAAAAAGCCCAAATTTTAACTGGTAGCCGTAAAGAACATCACCCCTTTGCGACCCTAATACAGCCCCTGCTTTAAAGAACTTTTACAAATGTTCTATGTCAGAGATGATCGACAACATGAAATGTTGGTGGTATCTTTGAATGACAAATGTAAATTTTAGGGCCTGTTTACATGGAAGTGGGGGACTCCAGATAAGTGGGGTAACCCGCCTAGTCGTGGTCGAAAAATAAAACGCGTTTACAGTCTTACAACTCCGGGTGCTGAGGTGAAGTCTCTCGAGGTTGTTATTGCGCTTGTAATTAGGGTTTTTGGGCAAAGGCGTCCCAAGCTCACGTCTCGAGAAAGATGAAGGACTAATTTTCGGACACGTCTGTATTTATTCACGAAAGCGTCACGCGTTGTGTTACGCGGTGTTAGGCTACGCAAGGAACCGTTGACAATTTGAACTCGTCAGTATGTTATGAGGAACAGTATGAGAAGGAACGAAGTATGATCGATTTACAACGCTTAATATTCCGAAATGTGAACATTTAACATTTCTTGTGTGTCCGTAGCGGTTACTAGTGATCTCTGCCGTTTTTGGCTTGCTTTGACATCAGTGTTATTCCTATCATGCCCCGTCTTATGAGGGGAAATTATTTTCCCCTAAGAATTCGCCGACAGTTCGATAACGTATGAATGCAGTGTTGAGTTAACGTAAAAGTGTGAGTAAATTGCTTCCGAGGTTTCATTGCTAAGAGGACGTAAAAGTTGATGTTTTATCATTTTAAGCCCTGGTCAAACGGTGCATGATAGTCGATGATAGTTAACAACTATTCATCGAAGTGGAGGTGGTTAGTGGTGGATATTTACCGAGC